TTACTAAGACCATAGTAATGACGGTGGTGATAATATTGAAATGTTTGTTTTAAATAGAGAAAATATTTTTTTTAACTGCAGGGCTGGGGGATACTGCAAGGGGCAAAACTACAAGACATAATGGTCTTTATAAGTATATAATGCTGAGGTATTAAATTATGATTAACTTAGAGGGAGAATTATAGAATTGACACTAGTTTCCTGCTATTCTCTTTTGCCTGGGTCAGATTTTATTTTTTATTATTCTTTGCAGGATGAAGAAACACGTTTTTGTGCACGTTTTCAAACTATTGTAGATCTGGGTGAAATTAAATTGTTGAAGAAGTGAAATGCAGAAATAAATAAAAAAAATAGATCTGAAATGCTTAAAGAGTCTTTGGACATTCTTATTTAGTCATCAATGCAGTTGACAACCTTTATTGACCAGTGTCAGATTAATTGGTGCCACTTTCTGACAAAGCACAACCCCTGCGCCTGTTCATGGGGGAATTTTTCAAAAAATAACCTAAAAGTATGAAAGGGCAAATTTCTAAGTCAAGAAATGACACCGGAACAGTTTGGACATGTTTAAAGTAATTGAAAATAGTCATTTATTTGTTATTTAGCTGTCTGATGTGACAGCACAAACTGTAGCTATAACATGGCCTGTCTTTTAAACAAACAACACTTTTTTTTTTTTTACCAATACATCATTTATTGTTGCTCATAATATTTTGCCCTCAATATAACTCCTATGTTACAGGTACAATGTGCAATGCTGTATAAAAACAAAACCTTTTTTATTTAAATCAAAAGGATACTTACTGTTCTACTAGTAACCACCACAGAGAAGTGCTCTATTCCTTATCTGGCTACTTTCGCAGTAATCTTAAAGGGTAAAAGGAAGAGTAGAGGTTTTCATGAAGCTTATCGACACCATGAGCTATAGGACTCCCTTTGGTTCATTACTATAAGAGGAACTCTTCCAGCTTTGCAAATTAAAAAATTAAAAGTTTGTTTTAGGGAGTGAAATTACTCCATGTGTAAAAGTTGTACTGTGTATAACTTTTTTGTGTTGTTTTTTTTTTTTTAAAAAAAGGTTTGAACTGTTTAAGAGAAATGTTGAGTCACCTGTGTGTGAATTTTGGAAGCTAGAAGGTTGTGATGCTGTTGGATTGTGTGGCACTATACTGACAGGTGTTTTTATTATTTTGTCCACCCTGTTTACACCTGTGATGCAGGTCTAAATTATAATACAGCATGTTTCAACAGCGACACAAACTCCAGCCTTCAAACAGATCATACAGTTGAACTGACGCCTCTGAAATGTCATCACTTTTATGAACAGAGGGTTTTTTTTGTCGGACTGTTATTAACATTAGCTTGGTGTACCTAATAAAAAGGCAATTGAGTGTCCATAAAATGGCATAGTGAACCCAAAGGTCTCCCATCCGGTCACAAATTTGATAAGATTAATAAAAACCTCAAGCATGTCTTAGATTTATTTGAAACTCAGTAGCAGGAGGGTTAAAAACTCACCTCCTGAGGACCCTATGCATCCTAGTTAATGGTGAGATTTTCATTCCATTTTGACTTTTTTTTCCCCATGAGTTCTGACATTTATTAACAAAAAACAAAATAACTCAAGTAATACTTTCAGGATTAAAAAAGTGTAAACTTTCACAAAATATAAAACGGACACATTCAAACCATAAATTATAAACATGTAGTCATGCATTTGTTCACAGGGCTGCATACAGTTTAGTCTTACATTTTATTTTACAAATAAAATAAAGTTAGATATTTCTCATGTGGTATGTAACGAATATTTACATTATTTATTAGTATTTGATGCATTAGTGTGTGTGGAGTATTATGAAGGATGCTCCCAGAGTGAGGGTTAGAGTTTTTAAAGGACTACGAGTGTATTATTATTTTGTGCGTGCATGTGCGTCTGTGGAAGGGTTTTTGCTGAACTGGAGCAGTGGCTAAGGTTACCTTGGTAACTGTTTTGCCTAAAAAAAAAAATCCCTACTGAACTGAAATGACATGTATCTGATGTCATAAGCTGCCAAAATATTTGATGTCAGGTTATGACAAATATTCTATGCAATCTGATGTAGGTTTGCCAGCCAACAAACTTATGAGGCACCATAAGTCAACTTGTCATAGTCTGAGTGGTGCAGTAGGTGTGACCCCTCATGACAACAGTAATGTACTGCACTGACAGATTGGTGTACGCCTGTGATGGTGGTTCACTGTAGGGTAGCTTGAGGTCTTTTGGTTGTGCCCAGTAAGCTATGGAGGTCCTGTATGGGGCACCTGCGGAGAGCCCTGACAGGGCTGCGATGGCGGTACCCATGCTCCGGCACTGGGGGGACGGCTGGGCTCTCCGCTGCCTGACTGATCCAGCTCAGCGCTGTCGCAGTCAGAATCATCACACAGGGCTCGGCTCTAAACAGAGTGGGAGGAGGAAAACAATGCCATGTGTGTTTTGGCGTTGGTGGAAGATACTTTACTCAAACTATTAATACAATAATGTAATACCCCCGTTAGGAGTAAAAATCCTGCAGTCATACTTTAATAAAACTACAGCACTAACAACAAACTTATATATCAACATATCATGACAGCTTGTTCTATAGTAAAATATCTCCTGTGATGGATATATCATTATACATGCCTTTAATGTAATGGTGTACTGTATAAAAGCCCTATGAGACAAATTTGTGATTTGTGATACTGGGCTATACAAATTTAAAAAAGTGACTTGATTTACTTAAATACAAGAACCTTATTACTTTTACATGGTCTTATACTTGTATAGCACTTCTCTATGCATTGCAGCACACACAAAGCACTTTCACACTTTTTGGCCATTTACACTCCCAAATTCACACACCAAGCAACTGGGGTTGGTGGGGGTGGGGGGTTCAGTGTCTTGCTCAAGGACACTTCAACATGTGGACTAAAGAAGCCGGGAATCGAACTGCTAACCTTCTGGTTAAGAGACAACCTGCTCTACCTCCCGAGCCACAGCCACCCTCAAATGCAGTTAAATGCGGTTCTTGAGTAAATCTATTCTATTACTTTACACCACTGGTTACTGGCGCTTTTACATCAGCCTAAGAAGACGACACAAACTGATCTGCTGTGGAGCTTCTGCTTTACCTCATTAGGATTCTGCCCAGCATCTAGCTGAGCTTTGGCCTGGCCCAGGGCTCCTTCTCTCTCCGACAGGCCATCGGAAGCATGCGCAGGATCAGTGTTGTCCGCCGGGATCTCCGACCCCTGAGAGAGGAGGTCATCGCTGCGGTCGTCCAACCTGTCATCAGTGTTTGTGCTGACCACATCAGGAGTACCACTGTGAGAGTGGTCAGTAGTATGACCTTCCTCGCCGTCTGACACTGACAGGTTCTCTGAGCTGAAGGTAGACACCGACTGGCACTTGGTGATGCTGGTCGGGCGTCTGGAGAGATCGATAGACAACAAAATCAGACTGTAAAATTACTGCATTGACAATGAATGCACTGAAGAATAACACAAATAAAAAGTTCTTGGTTCTCCAAATAAGGCAGCAACTGGTCTGAGAGGAAAGATGGCTTGAATTTTGCAGTGAAGAAGGACATTATGTTACTCACCGTCTCCGTGGTAACTCAACCTCACTGTCAACTTCACCCTCCTCCTCTTCTGATGACACTCCACGCCTCTGTAGTCAGTAACAGGAAAAAAGGCACAAGTGAAAATGATCAAAGTGTAACCAGAGGAGTACTGAGAAAGATGAACAGACACCCAGCCCTGTACCTGTTTGCGTGTGATAGCTGCCCTGTACAAAATGGCTGAAGGTGTGAGGTGTTGGCTCCCGATTCCCCCAGAAGCCCCCCGGGGCAATCTCACAGCACCGGATCCCTCCTCTTTATCGTCCCCGTCATGAGGCAGGCGTGGTGATCCCAGAGATCCCCGTCCTGCTGCCGCCCCCCTCCCACATGGTGAGTCTGGGCTGCTGGAGAAAGGGAATGATGCAGCGTCCTCACTGGGAGTATCACTGCGTGGAGGAGTTTCTGTGAGATCATCCAAACCGGTTGCCCCCACTTCTGATCCCCCTAAACCTGCAGAGGCACTGAGGCTCCCCCCTCTCTCCAGCCCACCCCCTGATGTCTCCCCTTTTCCCTGGCCCTCTGCCTCCAGCGTGGTGCAGATGAGGTCAGGGCTGGAGGAGGACAGCTGCCTCTGCTGCTGCTCATGGCTGAGGCCCCTCAGGGCTGCAGAGGGCTCCAGGAGCTGCTTAGAGGTGTTATTGGTAGAACCGTTAGCCTGGGCACTTGTGTCCTTATTAGGGGAGGACTGATTTGCCTTAAGTCCAGCCAGGTCCCCACTGCTGCCTTTACCAGGCTTGCGATGACGGGTCTTAACCCTCCGAGACCGACTGGGAGAAGTGGAGCTTCTGTTGGGGCAGGCTGGGATAGTGACTTGCATTACGGAAGAATCCATTTTGGGTATGATTACCTCAGACTTGAGGATGTCTGGCCTGAAAGAGTAGGTGGGATTAGTAAACAACTACAAGCGTTAACAAGTGTTAAACTTATATCAAATAACAAGTAAAATGAGCTCTCACACCTCTTTCCTGAGGGCAGTTTCTGTGGGACATTTCTCTTCTTAATGAGTTTGTCCATGGAGTTGGAGGAGCTGCTCTGTCTGGAGCTATGGTGCTTAAACAAGCCTGGGTACTTCTTATCCAAAGACTGCTCTCTCCTGTATGAAATACCACAGGACACCGAAGTGTAAATGCATTATGGCTTATACATTTGGAAAGAATATCAGTCTTATATAAAAAAAACAGTGTTCATGCATTTATTCACACCTTTGCAACTCTTTCTCTTTGAGCTCCAGCTGCAGCATGACAGCACTGAGCTCCATGTAAAGGTTGTTAGCCCTCTCCAGTTTCCTCTCATAGTGCTCACGGATATCTAAAGCATGCCTGAGAAGAAAAGAGGCTGCTGATGTCATTGTGCATCCGCATGAGAGAATCTCAATCTTCTACAACAAACATGCACTCAAGGCACTTATTTCATCCACAGGGGCGGACAAAAAAGTGACATCGAGAAATGAGACAGAATGATCACATACATGTAGCCAGCACAGTAAAATGACCAATATCCAGCTAATTTGGTATAGTGCAACGAGTTGGATCGCAGCGTTGTATGTAAGAGCAATAAAAAAAACAGACCTGAGCTCTTCTCTGCGTCGGTTGATCAGCTCCTCATCGAGTCGGTGGAGACAAGTACCCTCAGATTTAATCTTCTCAAAATGCTGTTTCACCTCTTCTCGCCACTCAGCCTGATGAGAGCAGAGTTATGTTAACCAGTTCTGTCTGGCCAGAGCTGCCTTTAAAACTCATTCTCTTTTTTATGGCAGTTGATGTGTGATTACTGTGTGGGTGCATGTGTACTCTGCGTAAATCCATGTTTGCATATTTAGTATGATGTCTAGTTTTTTTGTTTTTTTGTTGTTGTTGTTTTGTCATAAACTCTTCCTCCATTTGTTATTTTAGATAGGAAGTCAGAGAAGCAACCATACCTGAGACTTGAAGTATGTCTCTTGTGGAGTGGACAGTACATCAGCTGATGCAATATCCAGATGAAGAAGGATCTGACGGAAAGAAGGCCTATTCCTGGGCTTGCAGTTCCTGTAAATCCAAGGAAAGATGACTGCAGGGTAAAATCAGTGAAGTTTTTCCCATGCAACTATTCTCAACCCTTGTTTGGTTTTCTGTCTCCGTTTGTCCTTTCTTCCCTGCTGTGCTCTATATTTTCCTTTCCTCATTCCAACTGTCCATTTCTAGGTGTTTCTCTCACCAGCACTGTCTGAGGAGGATCTTGAAGCCATCAGGACAGCTCTCAGGTATGGGCAGCTGAAGGCTGTTGTTTCCCACACCCCAGATGATGGCAGATGAGTCCACATCTTTATAAGGGATCTCTCCAGTTAGCATTTCCCACAGCACCACTCCAAAGGACCTTTAAGTTAAGTCAACCTTTATTTATTCAGGAAGTCTCACTGAGGTCAGAATTTCTTTAATGAAAGACATCAAAGAATAAATTCCATACATATGACATGACAGCAAGACAGTTCAGTCACACAAAGTGGTTATCACACAGAAAATATCACGACATAGAACTTTGAATGAATGCCTTTGAAAAACTGAACTCACAGTACTGATGCATTATCTGCACGTCTGCTGTAGTGCAGGGCAATTGCTATATTGCTACACCCAGTCAAAAAAAAAAAAGCTATGTGCTAGGAAAAAAAAAGTAATGCTTATCAGACTTACCAGATGTCTACCTTTTCTGACACTGGCTCATTGCGTATCACTTCAGGAGCCATCCAGGCTACAGTACCAGCAAATGACATCTTGGTGCTCTTGTCACTGAGCTCCTTTGAGGTGCCGAAATCCGAGATCTTTACCAAATCATCATGTGTAATGAGCATGCTGCAAAGGTGAGATTACACAGAATTTTACACGTAAATGATAAGAAATCTCTCATGTAAGTTTTAGGTCGTGTGCTGTGTAATGCTGGCTGTGTTGCCACTCTCTGCTTACTTGGGGGACTTGAGATCTCTGTGAATGATTTTGTGGAGGTGTAGGTAGTTCATGCCACCTGCAATGCCCATGGACCAGTCAACCAGGAGGGAGGGGGTGATTTTACGACCCGCCCTCAACACCTCATACAGTTGGCCTTGGGCACAATATTCCATCAAGATACAATAACAAGGAGCCTGGGTGCAGACGCCCCTAGAAGGAGGCAAGTCAAATAAAGTAGCACAGGTGAGCCGTAAAGGAAAGTGTGATACCAAAGTGGGATTTATGCAGTTAAATGATTTGTATGTAGGATATCACAAGTTTCCTCACTTGAAAGTGATGATGTTGGGGTGCTTGAGTTTGCGGAGGTGTTTGATCTCAGTTTCTTTGATGTCCCGCACTTTCTTTACAGCGACATCTTCTCCGTGGAACTTGCCGAGGAAGACGGCCCCCTGCGCTCCGCTGCCCACCCACTGCAGGTCAGAGATTTCCTCAAAGGGAACCTCCCAGGACTCTAAATCAACAAGTCAAAAAAAAAACAGTCCATGAGTAAATGTGAAATTGTAAAGCATTACCCAGAATTAACACCGGAATTGCAACATTTGTTCAGTAGCACTCTTTGAGTAGTTACTTATACCAATCAAACATTGGAAAGCCCTCAAATATCAGTCTACTCTTGTCAGCTTGGACAGGGAAGAGTCAGCAGGTTTGCTGAGCAAATGCTAGGTCCATGCTACACATTACAGTATGCCAGCAGGACACTGTTAAATCATGCAAAGTGCCTGCCATGTCCAAACAAAATGTGTATTGACAACTTATCCAACAGACCGTAATATTTCTGTCCAGAGATGAGAGAGAAATTGATGGAAAAGCAACAGTTCACTTACAGTCTAATCTGTCTGTCATTTGTCATAGTGACACTATTTAATTGACTGTGAGGGCCTGGTCACTAAAGAGTGAAGGGCTGGACAGTATAAAAGAGAGTGGCAGATCAATTCTTCATGAGGTCCACCTAAGTGTCAAGATCTCTGAAGAGCTGCAGGAACAGAAGCAGACTCACTCCCCTGACCAGCTGTGAAAACTCACTGTAGCTGATGACCGGGAGGGAGCTGGGATGACAGACCCGTAAACATGGTCATGCCAGTAGGGCATGGTGGCAGGCAGACAGAGGTCTAGTCCTACAAAATAAGTACAATTTGAGGTCCTTGTGCTTGAGTACTTCTCTTTTCTGCTACTTTACACATCTACTCTGATATCATTGTACTATTTGCTGGCTGCTTTAGATTAAGATCTGACATAACACACAAGATGCACTTATCATAACAATACACACATAAGACACTATTATATTTTAAACCAGTTTGGTCCAACTTTTTTTGGCATGTGACCCATTACAGAGAGGCGAAATATAGCAGTGGCCCTGGTAACTTTTGAGATGTCTATGTTGTGTAAATTCCACCAAAACAAGATTTCCACTGATGTGTTTATTTAAATAACTGTTCAAGGACCAACATGTCAAGTTATTCAAGATTTCATAAAAAAAGCAAACATTTGAGTAAAAAAAAAAGCTAAAGATAAAATAATTTGTGTAGCAGAATTTTCCCACAACCCCTTAAATGTATCTTTTCACTCTGCGGAGGAAGCCTTTTACCCTGGCCTGAACTAACATGTATATGAAGCAGCCAAAACTAGCTCCAAATATTACTTCTGCAGTGATGCATCAGGCACAGTTTAATGATTTAATATTTAATATGTCACTCACATGTGCAGGTTTTCTGTGGAACAAATGCTTTTATTTCAGATACTATGAGAACATTTTGCTGATATTACTTTTATTTTTATGTAAGTATTTTAAATACAGGACTTTTAGTTGCGGAGTACTTTTAGATTGTTGTACTAAGTACAGTTTACTGAAATAAATTATCCGAATACTTTCTTCACCACTGTGGAGTTCTCCACAAATGTGAAGGCACCACAGTAATTTCATATACTAAATGAGTGACATGTTTAAGTCACAGCCTGAGTTTTCTTACACAGTCCAAACACAGCAGAGGCGGAACATTTTCTTTTATCTTCACATACCTTCTTGGCTATGTTTGTGTTCAGTGGAGTAGGCCTTTCCAATCATGGTCCAGACTGGTTTTAGACAGCCAAACAGTCCCTCCAAAAAACCTCCACTTCCTGACTGTAGCCGAATGTTCTCAGACTGCCTTCGAACAGCACCAGCCTCTGGGCTGTGGCCTGCCTCAGCCCCGCCGCCACACTGGCAGGCCTCATGTTCATGTAGTTTTAACACACTGTTGTCAAAGTGGGCTGAAGGTCCATCACTGGGAGTGGGGCTGCTGCCACCCGGCGCCCCCTGTCCACCAGTGTCGATGGACAGCACGTTACGGAGGACACACTGTGTGGGGGTCAGGTCCGTCTCGGGGGTGCAGGCAGGGGTGTCTCCATCGAGCCTTCGATAGGGGGGTTCTGAGATGGGTGTGCTGAAGCCTGACAGGGAGGGGGAAGGGGCACGGGGCTCATGGATACAGGTCCCACTCATCAGGGGTTTCCCCAACACAGCAGGTTAGGGTGGATGGAGGATGAAGAGATGACAAGCAAGCCTGAAGGAGACAATACATGATAACAAGTACATTAGAAAGATTTACAGTCTTTGATGCTTCATCTCTGTGCTTAGTTCTTTTCTCAAGCTATAAATAAAAATATATAAATATTTATAATATGATATAGTGATAATTTCTCTATATAAATATAAATTTTATTTAATCTTCGTGTCACCCATGGAGCCATCCACTGCTGACACAACTGCTAACTGTAATCTGTACTTCTAGTTTCTCTTTCAATCGTTTAAGAAGTTCCCAGAGCATAAATGAACTTTTCTTTCATTCAGACCATAAAAATACAACAAAACCTTGTCACGCTATGAGTGGTCTGGCATTCAGCCAGTCCCCCAGTTTAACCAGTCAGTCGTTCATTTCCACCACAGAATTCTGTCTGAATCATCCAGTAAAGCCTGATCTCTGTGTCTATGAATGGGAAAACCAGCCTGCCCAGTGGAGCCATCAGCCAGAGTGGAGATGGGCTTTATGAATGAATCGACCAGAGGTGGCTGTACAGTCCACAGCCCTGGCTGTCACCTGCTCAGCTGGCCCTCTGAGGAGAGTCCGAGCCTGACAGGACCAGAGCTACTCAGCAGCAGCTATATGTCGCTTCGTCATGCATCAGGTGAAGAGCATTGTGTGCATCTAAAGAATAAAACGAATTGCATAACCACCTCTGTGTGGATGTGCACGTCCGTCCGTCCGTGCGTTCGTGCATGCGTGTGTAAGAGAAAGCAAGGAAGAGAGGGAGCGCACATGTACTCGCTTCATATAGGATATCCTACACCAGCTTCATGTCCTGTATTGCACCACTGCATGAGAAGAGCCACGGCGACTGGGAGAAACGAGAACGTGAAAAAACGGGCAATAAACAACCACCGGGCCTGTACGAAGGGGCAGCACGCACGCACACACACACACACACACACACACACACACGAACGCAGGAAGATCAATCTTTAAATAACCGAGGATGTGATGATGACACACAGCAGCATCATAGCCGACGTGCATGAATTGCAACCCCGATGCTTACTATGGTCCATGCCAAGTGAAACTGCCGCAGCGTCTGTACATTTACTCAACGTTGGCATCAACACAAATATTTCGTAATGTGGGCTCCCTCGCTGCACAAATATGATTTTCTAGCATTCATCGACGGTGATTCGTTTCTTGGCAGCATCAGTTTATTTGTGCAGTGCGAGCGGCATGAACGCTACCGTACCAAGCAACGGCATCATACCTAAAGGTCCTGAGATACCTGATTTATTATTCAATCAGCATTTAATCGTATAGTATGACATTCCCATACCTTTCTGCCTGGTTGATGTCGCGTTGTCAAGTGAAGGGGTGGGCTCGGCTTTCTATTTGTCGGTGATAATGAGCAAATCGATGTTTTTCTTCGGTTCGGAATGTCTCTTGTATTTTTAGTCCCTATATCCACGAGTTTCACGTTACTGGGATGGATCCCAGCGGGCAAATTGTGTTATCAATAACCGGGGACCCATGCAACGTGAGGCGCGCTGGGTTTTGGGGGGGAGGGAGCTGTCTCCTTCCCAGTGCTGAATTGACGTCACGGAAATGCGAGTTGCACCAAAAGGGGGCGCTACCATCACCCTCTGCAAATACACATTGATACACACTGAACTATAAACTAGAGGTTTTTCGTGATCACATCCATCATTTCCATTAGGAAAATGTGGTATTAAGGACGCGTTATCATTCTCTGAGCTCTGTGTTTGAGCCTTGCTTCAGCCTGCTTTTCCGTCCTGGCGCTGCTGATGTGTCCTTGAGCAAAACAAGCCGACTCCCACAGGCCTCAGGGATGCTGAGGTGCTGACCAGTACTGGGGTAACTATTTTGAAAACATAGCTTTGCAAGCTACTAATTACTTCATACTAGAAGAAGTTGAACTACTGCAAAGCTACCCTAGAGAGAAATCCAGTTTAGTTAACTTGGGCTGTTTAGAAAAATTAGTTCAAACTACTTAGTTTAAAAAAATACTTAGTTTAAAAAAATATTCAAATTAACAATGTAGATGTGAAATAAAACTATAACAAAATAGTATAATACAAAAAGTAACATGCCCCCCCCCCATTTGTTTGTCTGCATACATTTTCATTATTATCAGAATCAAAATCCTCTCCATAGTGCATCAGTGGTATTTTGATTGGAATTTGAATTTGAGTCTTGACAAATAGTCTTTGCACAATTTTATTTTATGTATTATCTTCGTTAACAGCTTAGATTTAGAGTCTCAGACCTACTGTTTACCAGATGGTGGCGGTAATGCTATATTTGGTTGTTTGCCGACCGCAAAAAAGGCAACCCACGAAGAAGAACTACGCATAGTATACTTTTTGTCCGTTCGTCTTGCCGTATCTGACACGGCGGGATTAACTTGAAGGAGTCGCGGAATCTAAACAGTCGCAACTTGACATGTCTTAATTTGTTCTTTGACACCGTAGCGCATGATCACGGGCCACACTGTCAGGACACACGAGGTAACTTCCATGATGTCTAAGACGACACATAAGATAAAATGCTGTCGCCAGAACTTGCGACATCAAAGTTGTTTACTGAGGCCAGATAGCTAGCTAGCTAATTTTAACCATTTGTGTTATGCCTGCTGCTGAGTTTCAGCGGTTCATTAGTAAACATGACATGTCATATATGGTCAACTGCCTAAGTAACCCATGGTATGTTTCCAGGGTTCAACGTTAAAGATGTGCTCTCTGGCGCTGTTTCCCCCTCCGCTGCCCCGCGGACAGACAACTCTATGCGAGGCCAACAACGAGATGCTGCCAGGGACCGACACTCAAGCCCGACTCAAACACGTATGATTCAACATGCAGCTAATTATCTCTCGCGGTGTGTTGATTAAACGTGATTTGCTGGGTGTGGATTTAAAATCACTACCCGACCTTAGCCTGAGATATCAGTGTTAATGAACTGCAGTAACTAAGTTAAATGTGTAATACTACTGTCCTGTGGCTTGTGGGTAATTATTATCTTGTCGTGTGTTTTTTTTGCAGGACTCTAGTGCTCTCAGCCTGTATTTCCCCCGAGAGTCTCTGAAGCTCCACAGTCGCACAGAAATCAGCAGCAAGGCAGCTTTTCTGGACCACTCTGAAACACTGTGGATGAGGAGTGCAACAGCATGGTAAGCAGTTGCAATATACACTTGCACACAAATGTAAATTTGATGCTTTCTATGAAAACAATGATATCACTACCCGACAGGACTGATGAAGATGATGCTCATATATTTGATAGGGGTTTCCTTAAATATTACAGAACATTGTGAGATAGTAGTTTGCAGGGAATCATATATAACGTGGTTAAACTTTTAACTGTCAGCGTCAGCCAGATGAATTTTATAACATATTTGTAATGCAGTATTGTTTTCACTTTCATCAAAATGTATGTATAGCTACTCCAGCTTCCTCCCACAGTTCAAAGACATGCAGCTTAGGTTGATTGGTGACTTTAAATTGCCCCTAGGACTGAGTGTGAGTGTGTGGTTGTCTGGTTCTAAGTTTCAGCCCTGTGATACACTGGTGACCTGTCCGCGCTGTGCCTCGCCTCTCACCCAATGTTAGCTGGGATTGGCTCCAGCCCCCCGCGACCCTCTTCAGGATAAGCGGTGTATATATACTGGATGGGTGGGTGGGTGGATGGAAAGCTGAGTTTAAACATGGGTGTTTTAGTCTCCAAAGGCACAGAGAAGCATGTGCACATGTGCTGTCATTTACCACCCACAACAGCCATCCATCCATCCATTTCCTGCCTCTTATCCGGGGTTGGGTCGTGGTGGCAGCAGCGTCAGCAAGGTATTCCAGACATCCCTCTGCCTGGCAATGTATTTCAGCTGCTCTGTCAGGATTCTGAAAACAACAGCAAAAGATTTCAATGGCCAGAAAACTGTTAATAGCATTAAAGTGTCAAGTAATGGAAGGATGTGGCTGTGACTCAGTCACTCAGATATTTGCAATCTGTAAAACAGATATAACTAGAAACTCAGAAGAAGACAATTTCTTAATGAATACTTTAACAGTGTACAGTTTTTAGATTATATACAGCAAGAGATCATATCACAATGTACTGTCATAGTAATTCGGTCCAGGTCTGTTACATACAAAGATCATTTTTGCAACTTCTCTCTCTATTCCAGGCGTGATGGTGGTTTCACAGGGCTGCTCAATGAAATTACCAACTCGCATACAGAGGGTACATAAGGCACCAAAATCTTTTTCACTTTAACACCTTATGACCTGATTCTGTATATCCATCGATGATGTGCATATACGATAATTTCCTTCTGTCTGTTGTGCTCTCACAGTGCCCAAATGGCTTACAGTGAGTTCTGGCTGTATCCTGGCTTTGCTCCGATGGGTCTCGTCTTTTCATGGCTCCCTTTATCCTCATCTCACAGTGAGTTGTGGCTGCTGCTAAACGCAAAAATGTGTGTGTGTACTTATTGGCTTATTGTTACTTTACTTAGATGTTTGACTTTAAACTTCTGAAATTGGCATGTTCACAGATTCTGGACTTTTCAGTGAGAGAGAAGGTGTAGATACAGTTCAGTTATATTCTTAAAAAAAACAACTTTGAACATTTATTGGGAAAACCCACAGTTGGAAACCAAATAGCAGACCATTTTTATTTTATAAAATCTGCCTGGAGGGGATCTGTAAATATGTTGTTTACAGCAGTACACTTGATTATCTTGGGTTTTGTGTTATGTTAAAATGTGTATTACCTGTTTGTCATTTGCTCCATAGTTGAGCAGTGAGGACATGATTGCTGAGTTTTCACAAGTGCTGAACTGGTAAGTGCCAATAGGAATCTGTAGTTTAGTTTTACTGTCAGAGTCCAAATAAATATAAATACATTATGAAGAAACTGAGCACAAATTAATGTCAGACAGATTTATTGTAAAACAAATTTAGAACTGCAACAACTAGTCAGTCAAACTGCTGATCAGCAGAAAATGTATTAGCAAAACCTTTGATAGCTAATTTATCAGTTAAATCATTTTTGAGGAAAAATACCAAACACTTGAAAGTTTCATGTTCTCACATGTGAGAATCTGCTGCTTTATCTTGTTTTCTGACGTTTTATAGACCTAATAATGAATCAGTCGATCTGGAAAATAATCAGCAGAACGATCTTTAGTTGGAGCTCTATATAAATGAGCGTGAAACTGTTGGAGGTGTGGACATGTGCAGTGTTTTTGAGCAGCGTCATAAAATGATGATAAGCTAAAATGTAAAGACAGTGTTACAGAAACATTTTTGTTTTAAAATTGTTGAGTTAAACAGTCACTGACCTTTCTCTGCTTTACCAGGTCAGACTGCGTGGTGCGAGCCTTTGCCTGGCATCCTCATACAGATAAATTTGCTGTAGCCCTTCTGGACGACTCAGTTAAGATCTACAACCCCAAAAGGTTGGCAAATAATTGTTAACCACAGCTCTACAGTGCATGACAACACTCCAGCCATGTACTTTTTACCAAAACACAATTTCATTGCTAGTCTGTAAAAGTACTTTGGTGCAACAATGAACATTTAATTCCAATCCCCAACAGTTTACAAACACGCTTAAAATCTGACTGTATGTCATTGTTGTTCTTTGACCTCTCAGACATTCTGTGACAGTATTGTCAAAGCTCAGGCTTCTATTTGTCTCTCAGTGCCACAACTCCCACACTGAAACACCGCCTGCAAAGGAGTGTGGCAGCAGTGCAGTGGAAGCCGCTGTGTGCGTCCGCCCTGGCTGTCGCTTGTCAGAGCTGTTTGCTGGTCTGGCATGTAGACCCCTGTTCATTGTCAACCAGGTATGTAAACTCAGGTCTTAAAAAGTCTATTAGGGTTTTTCTACTCTAATGAATCCTAACAGAACATGTAGCTGGGAATTGTAGTCCCAGGTTCTCCGTTTGTTTCCAAAGATGATGATGAGAGATGGCTGTCGCATGGTGAGTTCAGCAGATTCTTTAGGTTATGACAGGTAATAATACTGTTAACCTGACGTAGCAAAGTTTTATTTGTAAAATAAAGAGTAAAAAGCAACTTCCTCTGAACTGTTGGTCACATTTAGGTAGATGAAACAAACAGTTTTTCAGTTGAATCATAAAGTTCAAGAAGAGCCCCCGTTAAAAGAGTGTTGTTTTTTTGTTTTTTTTTGGTTGTTTGTTTGTTTTAGTACAATAAATCCTTGATGTTTGCGAAGTCAGTGAGTCTACCCTACTTTTGGCTCTTCCTGTAAGGGGTCGCCACAGCGAATCCGATTTGCATGATTAAATTTGGCACGTTTATATCCCAGATGCTCTTCCTGACACCACCCCCTCTATTTATCTGGGCTTGGGACCGGCACAGAAGTCACTGACGTGAAACCCCTGTGGCTAGATACCTTCACAAGTCATTGAGTAGTCATGTTAAATAATCATGCTCTTGATATTGACTAAAATAATCGTGATTTTTGCTGTAATTGTGCAGCCCTAGCTACAGGGGGTTTCACACTTTGTCAATTGTTAAATTGCATCCTGTGTGGTATTATAAAGGTTTTTAAAGATTAACTTGGTGAACTCGGCTTCTCTTGTGCTGTAGTTTTTTTTTTTCCTTTATGGTACCTGTTTCTCGTTTTATCTCAACCTCTCCAGGCCTTCCTCTGGTTGTGCTCAGGTTTTGTCTCATCCAGGTCACTCTCCAGTCATTTCCATCGCCTGGTCACCAAGCGGGTCTCTTCTTGTGTCGGCCTCACCTGTGGACACAGCAATGATGGTACAAGGCCACTGTTTAATCTTTATGTCCGCCTCATGTTGCAAAACATTTTAGACTGACATTCCTGTTGTATCCGTCAGGTTTGGGATGTAGCTGCAGAAAGCTGTGTGCCACTTCAACGTGTTGGAGGAGGTGGGGTCACCTTCCTGTCCTGGTCCCCTGACGGCAGCCATGTGCTGGCTTCTACACCATCTGCCCTGTTCAGGTTAGAAACAGCTTGGATACTCTGGAATGTTCAGTTTAAAACCTGTTTCTGACCTTGGAACCATTTTGTGGTGCTGCTCAAGCACATTTCAATTTACAGATATGTAAAGCTGCCAGTGAATATATGTGATTGTTCTCTGCCATGAAGTGTGTATGAACCAGATTCACTGGCCTCTAGCTGTGCTGTAACAGAGGCCCACTCAGTTTTTATGAATATTAATGAACATGCAGGGGATTAATGACATGTTCTGCAGTTTAGCAGATATTATAAGAAGATAAGTGGAGCTGTTGCACATGGATAAATCAGGTTTCTTTCTTCAGGGTTTGGGAGACCAGAATGTGGACCTGTGAGCGTTGGCCATGTGTGAAAGGGCGCTGCCAGGTGATAACAAGTCTACAATTGGGTAACAACACATTTTTACAGCTTGTATTTATTAAATAATTCTGAATCTGTGTTTGTCTCTGCTTCGGTTAGTCTGGCTGTTGGAGTCCAGATGGGAGTCGACTTCTCTTCACTGTCCAGGGAGAGACAGTTATCTATGCTCTGACCTTCACTGACGCACCAGGTTCATGTCTCAGTCTTTACACTAAATAACCAGTACCGTGTCGAAGATACATTTATTTTGTAGCTTGAATAGTTTTCCTCTGAAGTTGGATGAAAATCTGATTATACAGTAATACTTTAAAAGCTTTTATTAAAAACCCGACTTAGCAGGTAACAGGAAAAGGTTAAAAAAAAAAAGTAACCTGTATGATGATGTTATTCAGCAGGTGTTCCTACAAGCACATCCAAAGGGCCGCAGGCAGCAGCAGTGGTGGCTGACCTGTCAGAGACGACCTTTAACACACCAGATGGAGACATCATGTAAGGTTCTCCATACTTATGAAATGGAATCCGTTTTTATCGATTAAACTACCTAATTAAAGTACATGACTTAGTTCAAGAAGTTCCACCTCTACCAAGCACAGTATTAAAGTTCTGCTTACATGTTAATACATCAGTAATAATAATCCAATAATATAACACTGACATGCCCTTCTGTGTAATCGGTACTTTTACTTTTGATAAGTAAGTAAAGTTTGTTGCTTGCTAATACTTGTGTACTTTTTGTCTTGTAACATTTTGAATGCAGGATCTTTAGCTCTAATGAAATGGCTTTACTTGAGTAAAACGATCTGAATACTTCTTCCGCTACTGAATATGTGACCCAGGAAGCTTTGTGTCACTCAACTCTGTCTAATTTTCCTGCAAGTGTTGGCGGAGAGATCCAATCTTTAGCCTGGGATCCAAGAGGGGAGAGGCTTGCAGTGCATCTTAAAGGTTTTTCTCACGTTTCCTCTGTTCAGTATTACACTGGGCTTATTGTTGGTGTATATTTCATAACGTCATATCACTGTCCTTATCTGTTCTCTCAGGTGATTCACAAGCAGCGGACCGGCCTGCAGTTATAGCTGTGTTCAAGACAAGAACCAACCCTGTCTTTGAGCTTTTGCCGTGGTTTGTACCTTTATGTGTGGTTGCATTTCATATTTGTGTAGCTTTAGCAGGGCACAAAAAGTATTGCATTTTTCACTATATATATTTCAGTTACTATGAACCCATGAATATTTCTTGTGTTTTCCTCTTTAGTGGTTTTGTTCAAGGGGAACCTGGTGCAGAGCCAAGACTGATGCAGTTCCACCCGAATTTCCAGCACGGAGCTCTGCTCACGGTGGTCAGTCGTCCTTTTTTCTCTTCTCTTATGTTTTAGTAAATAAACTGGAGGTTGTAGCCATAGGCAGGGAATCCGCAGGTCTTAGTGCTTTCACATATCACCTGTTTGATTCAGTTAAAATAATGAGTTCATTTGCTTGGTTAATATGGATGGTTGCTCTCAATCGACCATACTGACCAACCACGGGATTTAGTGATGGCAGGTATTAGGGCTGAATGCTAAACTGTTATGTGAACGTGATTAAGATCCCTGTGCGATCTCAGTCTCACATGACAATGGCTCTGTTGTGTTTGCTCGCATCAAAACAAGCGCCCCCTTTTCCTTGCTAAGCTGCATTAAACAATAGGAGGAATGCGTTACATCATGTGGCGAGCTGTAGACAGGAAGAGAAGACCTATTCAGAAATGAATACAGCATGTTTGAGAGTGTAAAAGATGATCTGTGCCCTCCTGCAATTATTTTTCAAACACTGCACTGCCTTCCCTATACACCTCGTGCCGAATAGTTGGGTTTCCATCATCCATTCATGCTTTAACTGGTGTGACCATAAAACAGGTTTTTTATTTGATGTGGTGTTAAAAAGGTCTTTAAAAAGTCTCATTTAACTTGATGATAAAACCAGTGGCCCTACTGGCTGCTCCCTCTGCTGTCCACCACCTCCAGAGTGACGTTTCTCTCTCTGCTCTCAGTGTTGGTCCACTGGAAGAATTACCCATGTGCCTTTCTACTTCCTGAGTGCTGGTTTCCCACGTTTTGGCCTCAGCAGCAGCCCTCCACTGCCGTGCTTGCAGGAAAGGCCTGCTGACTTTGCCAGTCATTCACTCTTCACAGAGCTCATCTACTGACGACCATCACATACCCAAAAATCATTTTTGTTTTCATGGATTGTCAATAAATGTATAGAAAGTTCTTGTTCTACTAAGACTTGTTTCCTTATTTGTCTAAATGTTTGAACCAAATGGACATCATTGTGAGGTAATGATTAAATGTGCAGTTTAATCACGGTGTCTTTAGGTTAAAAGAACACCACCAGTTGCATCTCAGTGGAGAGTTTTTTTTAAAAAGGATCAGACAAAGTATTCAGTAGGTAGTGTGTTTACACTAGAAAGTCACAACATAAAGTACTGTATACTCAAAGCAGACAGTGATTTTTGAGTGTCCTTCTGATGCTTACTATTCTCCCACAATGCAATGCGCAAAAGAAATGGAGGAGCTACTCACAGCGGGAAAATGACAACTAATTTAGGGTGGTATTGTAGCAATATGGAATTAGATTTGTTTCAGAATAACTGAACCGGAATAAATTATATCAAAAGTGAGTAAATAGTTTGATCCTATGCCTTTGTTCTACTGTATCTCTCTCTTTGCTGTTACGCAGTCCTTAAATTTTGAAACAAAATTATAAAACATGGCTGTTCCCCGCACGGTCACATGGAGAACATCCTTCTTTAGGGAACTTTTCACAGGTGTCAAAAAGGCACAGAATAAATCATTAATGACTGTTTCCATGCTGTGTATAATAATACTATGTTTTAGAGAGAAAACATTTAAAAATAACTGCACAACAGCAAGAGTTCTGACATTTATTTAGTTGTTTTTTCTAGTGTGTCTTTACAGTTTTTGCCTGTGCTTGCCTTTTTTCTCCTGAAATGTGAAGTTCATTATTTGTAAAATCATTTACTTGTTTATATTCATAGTGGCACATTATATTTTAAATAAGAAAATGTCACCGTGAAGTCGAGCTTTTTTTAATTCGGGTGAGTAGTGATGCAACTGTTCAGAATCATCTTTACTTTATGAAATGCTTGATTCCAGTCAACTAAATGTTAAGTTATGCCTTTTAGTCCAAAAACAGGTGCCAACTACACCCCCAACCTGACGCCACAGAACTAATAGAGTACTTTTGTTCCTTTAGTTCAGAGATTCTTTCATGTGAAAACGCACAACTGCACAGTCTTAAATTTACAAACACACACCACACATTTACACACAAGCTACACACACAGTTAAGAGTAACCGACCTCAAGAAATACAAGTTTGACAAAAACATTTAAGCAAACATGAATGGGTCTGGAAGAAAAACATCCCCACGCCATTTCTGTTTTTATTCAGAACTCAATAAAAATCAACTTCATTCTTCATCTGGTTTTTCTTTTATTTTCCAATTTACAGCAATTAGAAGTGTAACAAAAACAAAAATGATCATGGTCATAATAAAATTAATTTAAAAATGTACACGCCCTCACACACACACACACACAGACAACCCACCCTGGTTGTTTTTGAGCTACCGTCCTCAGAGTCCTGTGTTCACCTTTGGTGGTCTGGACTTGAGGAGGCCTCCATGTAGCTCCAGAGTCTCTCCTGTCTTAACCCGACTGCTCCCCTTCACCTGGGTGGAGTGTGAGTGTGTGGTGTGAGGCTAGTGGGAATTAAGGGGCGTTGGATGGAGAATTGCAGAAACTCATAGCACCTTCTGGAGAGAGAGCAACCCAAAGCAAAGATGGCCATTCAGGCTCAGATCCACCTGGTCAGCTCAGATTTAAATTCAACATTTTCACGTTGTTCTTCGTTGTGAGGTAGCTTTAAACAATCTGGATGACTGAAATAAAAAAATATAATATCCCTCATATTTTTCAAAACAATTTTTTGGTTGTGGGGGGCCTGGGCCTTCTTGTGATGGGCAGTCAAGGGGTCCAGGACACTGAACCATACATCCCAAAATGTAACCTCACTTTCCAAAAAGTGTTGGTGTGCATATAGACACATATACACACATATGTGGAAATATATATAAACCATCTGGTTGTTTATAAGCACAGACTTTTACAACAGTAGAACCAAGGATTTACAATACACAGTAAAGGATTGACTCCTGCTCACGATGGACAGGCCTGGAGCACCTGGATTTGATTTTACTTACTGAGAATTTTGTTTTGGTCTATACTGCTTCAGAATGTCGTATGTGTGTGTCAGGAGGGAAACAGGTGGAGGGAGGTGGAGTAGGGCTGGGACAGAGGTTGTGCGGCTGCTCTGTAGTGGAAAGGGGGCAGGTGTTACTTACAATGTAAACCCGTCCAGTCCTACCTCAACTCTGCCTATTCAGGCTGGACAATAAATAAGTGATATCAAGTCATGTTTCTGTTCTCCATAACTTGTTCGCTCGGTCCCTCTTTCTCCTGGCTCTGATTCATTCCCGTCAACAGTGGGCCGTGGGAAACATGACTGGATCTCAGGAAATTGGTTGACAGAGAATGCTGGTGTGGTGTACAGATATTGCTGGTGCCCTTCAGTGCTAACATCCAAGGAGTACAACTTGGAGTGCACTTCGTTGTGAAAGAAAAACGATCAGTTTTCTTTTAGAATTTCCAGTCTTCTTTATTGTGAAAGTGATTGTAATGTTTGATGGTTGAGTTTTATTTATTTCCTAGTGTTTGGGGGGCCATTGTGATACTCCACTTTACAAGAAACAGACTGCGCCTACATCCACTCCAAACTCCTGATCTGCTCCTCCGATGTCCAGAGGAGCAATGTCCACAATTGGCAGACGGGAGGTTTTCTGTGTTTTGTACTCGATGACAGTCTTGCCCCAGTGGCCTGTATGTTTCTGTTAATTGAGATTGGAGAAATGTGTTAACAACAGTTTCATAATACAATGGCAATTACTGGATAGATTTAACTATCTGATTTTTTTTCCTGTCTCTGTGTTGCAGCTGTCAGCACTCACCTTGCAGCCATCCTCCAACACGCTGTATGTGAAGCGACTGTTGCCTTCTGCACGGATCTCCACATCGTTGGAGCCTTGCAGCAGCAAAGCCTTCTTCAAGTTTCCTGTGGTTTGGTCCATGTAGGCGATGCTGTTCTTACAGTGGTAAGTGAGGTTCTGGGATGCCTCAGTGGACAGAAGCCTCAAGAAGGTAAGCTGGATGCTGGCAGTGTTGGCAGCAGGGCCGTCCTGAGCGTAGCTGAACTGCAGAACCAGGCAACCAGCAGAGTTCATTAGCAGCTTTCATGTTGAGGATTATTGAGTTCTTCAAGATTGGTTTATATAAAGAAATTATCTAAAGTTATACATAAATGCACTCACATGGAATCCTCCATTCATGGTTTCTCCAAACCAGATGTGTTTGCGGTCCTTGCTCTTGCTGCTCCACCAGTTCTTCTTCGGTACCTTGGCGATCCTCGGGTAGACACAGGTCTCTCCAGTCTCCATGTTACAGTAGACCTTCATGGCGTCGGCCATGCTTCCAATGTTGGGATCAACCCAGTAGTCACCTGGAGAGGTGAGAGAAGTGGGTTAGTCAGGAGTGAAGCTTGAAAACTAAATGCATTTCGGGCAAATAGTTTTTACTCCACATCAGACTAAAAATTCATATATACTCATTTCTAACTCAGGTCAGATATTTGATTTTTGCTATATATTAGTCTGGGTCAGGTCCATGTTGTGAAAAACTGTCTTTGGCTTCACAGCATATCAGCAGAATACAGAGTAATTGGCAGTAGGATTATGGTAATAACATAAAATTACAGTATACATAAAATAGAATAATGTTGTAATGAAGTGAAGAAAAAGAGAATGTGAAATATAGAAGCTGAACAGTCAGCATCCTGATTGCACTTGCTAAGGAGGACTTGGTGTACACTTTTTTGGCGGCTCTAACTTGGCTCTAAAATGAGGGAAGAATCACTTATAATCTGACAATATTTCACTCATATTTTGTCACTTGGTTGCATCTGTGGCTTCCCTATCATTTTGCTAGTTGCAATCTCTGCAATTTCAACGTATTCCTAACATTTAGATATCCATACTACATGGCCATAATGAAAACTAAGATACTTTTCCCCAAATTCTTATGCACCGTTTCCAGACTCTGCCATTAAAATAATATAATTCCTACGCAGACACAATCTCTGGATGGATTTCTTCACAGTGTAGTCAGTATTCTCTGATCCTGTCTTGGGCCAGACTTTGAGAAGGGTTTCCTTGGTAGGGAAAATTATCTTCTGTCCTTATTCAGGCAGGGAAGCACAACCAATTCATAAATTCAGAGGAAATAAAAATATAGCACATTAAAGTGGTATGTCTGTCTGATTCTGTCACCCTCTCTCAGATACACCACATTGCTGCAAATGATGCTGCTGTCTTGATTCCAGTATTTCTGAAGTTTCCAGTGAGTAAATTTACAGCTACTTCTGCAGCTGCCACTGTTTATAGGGTCTACAGTATTTTTATTAGACTTCTATTGGTTACTTTTATCGTTTCAGTTGTTTCCCTTTGATTTCATTTTTGTCAATATTAATTTGTCATTAATTTTATAGGAGTCATAGGAAGCTCATAAATGAGCCTTGTGGAATCCCTCCTGTCATAATGATGCTTTCAAAGACAAAGTTACCAGAAAAATCCACCCTGGACTTTCAAGTACAAGTAAGTGTTGAATTATTTTCAGACTGAGCTTCCAGAAGTTACAAAGACAGAAGGACCTATAAACACCTATCTACCCAAACAGTGGTTTTCAGTTAGTTGTCAAAGGCTGACAGACCTTGGTGTTCAGTCAGGAAATGCACCAAAGTCTATGTACTTTTTAATTCCCCTAAAAGGTGCCAAAAATGTCAACCAAGCACAGTCTGTACATGCCCACACACTGTCTCAGAGCTAAATGCAGGCTAAAAGCAGTCAGATTTTCTGTGAGCTGTTAGCTGATTGCTAAGTTGATTGTAAACATTTTTTTCTAAGCTAAAACTTAGGACAAAAATAGGACAGCACTCCACTAAGATAATTTATCAGGAACAAACACAGACATCAGTGTGCGAACAAACAATAGACTAAAATAGTTTTTTGAGGATTCAGCACCCCACTCTACTCTCTGTATTGGGCTGAGCATGTTGTTTTTACAAGTAGCTTTGTTTAAAATAAAGACCTAATAAGAAATATCCAGAAAGGAACTGTTGACAGTTTGCAACCCAGTTAGGGACTTTTTAAGGCAAAAAGTCAACAGATCAGCAAACTTTCTGTCCTTTCTTCATCTTTCTTGGCTCCCCACCCTACTTAC